ACAAGGAGTCTGGTGGCACCTTAAAGACTAACAGATATCTGTTAGTCTTTAAGGTGCCACCAGACTCCTTGTGTTTTTTTAGGGGACTCAGAAGAAATGCAGCCAAGCCCTGTGAGCCCAGACTACATTCAGAACAGAGGAAGGTGTGAGGGGCATAGGTGAAAAGAAGGGGCCAAACCCCAGGGCAGGGCTAGCAGTGGCACAGAGAAGTTCCCACGCTACCTGTGGTACTGATGTGGCCCCATCACCGCAGTATCTGAGCACCTCACATCACAGCCCCTGGGTGAGGCAGAGCTGTGCTCTTATCCCCATTGTACAGATGGGCACTGAGGCACACACAGTCAGACTTTCATAGTATTTAGGCATCGAGTGGGATTTTCAAAAGTGCCTAGAAGGTTCGGTGCTTTGTAAACCCCACTGGATGCCCGGCGCATCTTTGGGTGCCTAAAAACCTTTGAAACTCTGTCCCTAAGGCGCTGCCCTGAGGTCAGACAGGAAGTCTATGGGGGGAGGGAAGCAGAATCCAGGTCTCTCAGGGCTGGCTCCCTATGCACTGGACCAGCCTTTCTCTCTGCTGCATGCTGCAAAGAAGCGGATTCTGACGCATGGGAGCAAAACCAAGAAGGCAATTTTAGATTTTAAATGAAAATCATTTTGTCTTGTCATTTTTTGTTCTGAGTTTGAGAAAAGGAAGGAATGAGGAAGTGTCGTCTGAGTATCAGATGTGATTACACATCAAATTCGGAGGGTTTCAGCTGTACTCAGGCCAATTCCAGAACAAAGAACAGAAACTCCCTCCACGGAGTCCATAACGTCGGCGATTATTGTCATGATTTGTGTTATTCACGGGGCACCATCTGTGTGCTCAGCGCTGTTCAGAATACTCCAGGAAATCCAGTCCCTGAGCCAAGGCATCTAAGCTGTGTGACTCTGGGTAAGACAGCTCAGATATTTAAGTGTGAAGCGTGTAGTTACTGAGCACACGTGTTAGCACCTGGTCACGGTGATGTTATATCTATGAGTGGAGGTGCTGATGGCAATAGACGTTTTACTTGATTAGGGACTAGAAGATTTGACCCTCCAACTTTCTTTCAACAGGAACAGCTGCCCAGAGCTCCTGTGCGTGTTAATTTCTTTTCCTGCCTGCAGTGGCCCTGAGATACCTCAGAAGTGTCAATTTTCCCCCCACTTTAAAACATGGAATTTTCTTGGTGTTTGATTTAAAAAGTTCTCCTGTGAAAACTGCAACTCAATCACGGTAGTGTTGTGTTTAAGACCTTTCTGGAAAGGAACGAGTCTTTAAAGAGAAGTGAAAGCAGTGGTTTGTCATGAGTCTCATGATAAATATTGTTTTCCTTAAAACCCCGGCACCTGGAGTCAAGTGAGATGTGATGATTTCAGCCTTTATTCTTAAAGAACAATGAAGTTTCTAGCTCTCGTGGCTGTGGAGAAAGCTTCAAAATGTGACCCCAGTGCAGCTTAAAGGCTCAAAAAGCAGAATGTAAAGAAAAAAAGCCACCAAATCTATTATTTTTTTTATATAAGCTCATTATTTTAAAGCCAATCTCATGATTTTTGGTGAGTCTGATTCTTGATTTTTGAACATTAGGGGTCAGCAATACTCGGCAAGTGACTTGAAAGTGTCAGTTTCACTCCTGTTTAAAGTCAGTTTCTAGGCTATTATTTGTGGTGGGGTAACACCCCTAGAGCCCCAGGCAGGTGCAGTATAAGCTCACAGGGCCTTCCCCTGGTAGGATGTTTCCAAAAGCTAAAGGATCTATTCCAAGCTTGATGAGCTGCAAAAAAGAGATAGAAAGTTCTCTAGGTTCTTCTACAATTGTTTCCAGAGTTAGTTAGTAAGAAAGTAGGAATATACAGTAACATTTTAAACCTAACCAGTGTCCCTTAAGTGACTTGTCACAAGAGGTCAGATCATGTTAGTATTAGAGCTGAGTGGGTCTAATGTTTATTTAATTTTCTTTCTTTATATAGGAATTATCTGACAGCAGCGCTGTATCTCTCTTATTATCTGCAAAAAAACAAGAGCTTTCAGGTGCATAAGTATCCTCGGGAATCATGGTTAAACTGCCCCCGACCACCAAAATCTGAAATGGCGCCCTTGTCATTTCCTGCCCTGGAATTCAGACAGATCACTCACCGCCGGGCTGTAAAACAAACAGGAGCAAGAGAAGGGGAGGCCGTAGAGCCCCCTCCATCCTGACAGCGAGGGGCAGGCAGAGTGGGTGGCCGTCAGTCCATATAACGGGTGTCCTGACCCAACAGAGCCGGAGCGGACTGGCCAGCAGGGTTTGCTGAATGGCCGATCCCTGATGGTGCCGAGGGGCTGCAGGGAAATGACCCGGCCCACAGCTCTGCAACTTCCCCCGCGAGACACTCTTCCCTTTTGTGGTATTTCACGCAGTGAGCGCAAAGCAGCCCAGGGCGTTGGGTTGGGGACTGTTCCTCTAATTGCTCAGGGCTGTAAGAGTCTGAAACAGACACGGCTTCTGCGATATTGGACGTGAGCTTCTGTCCCCAGAGAGCCGGATGCCATGGAAGAGGGGAGAGCCTGTGGGGGAGCGGGCACGGCAGGGAGTCCCTGGGAAAGGTCTGGGAAGCCCGGAAGGGCCTGGGAAGCTTGGAAAGAACCAGGCGCTGGAGCAGCCGTGGGGACTGAGTTCAGTGACATTCACCCTTCGGAAGCTGCAAGCGAGCGTCCCCCTGTATCACCCTCGGGCTGGTGGGCTGGGGAACGCCCAGGCGGGATTGGCAGCCGCAGTGGAAGCTCCTCTGCTCTCAGTCCCGTCTCCGCTCCCTGCCGGGGAGGACGTGCACCGTGATGATCCCGGCGCTCAGGGCTCCCAGCACCAGCAGCAGGACGATCCCCTTGACGTGGCAGTAGGACAGCGAGGAGGCCGAGACTGGTGTGGGAGCTAAACAAACAAAGGTGATGGTGTCAGTTCATGCAGGGGGAACTGGCGTTGTCCCAAGCACACAGCAGGGGAAGGAGTCGGGGTGCCTGGGAACCTGCCCCCCGCTCCATACAGGGCAGGAGGAGACGCGGTGCAAATAGGGCCAGGTCCCGCTGACCTCGGCTCCGGTCAGGGCCGGCTCTAGGCACCAGCGTTCCAAGCACGTGCTTGGGGCAGCACTTTTCAAGGGGCAGCACCTCGGCCCTTTGGGGTGGCACTTCGACGGCGGTACTCCGGTGGGTTTTTTTTTTTTTTGCTTCGGCAGGAAAAAATCCTGGAGCCGGCCCTGGCTCCCGTGTCCCCTCTGAGAAATGGGGGTCAGAGGCCACATCCAGCCCCCAGGCACAGGAGTCCCCCCCCGTCCCCAGAGCGGGGCCCAGAGGTCTCTGGTGCGCCCAAAACAGCCCCTTCGGCCCCCACTCTGAGCCCCTCGCTCCACCGGCTCCTCCCTACGCCCCCCACCCATGAGCAGCTCATCACACCTGCGCAGGGTGGGGCTGTGACCCCTCCCCGGGGCAGCCTGCGCTGACGTTCCTGCCCCTCCCCCGCTACCTCCCAGGTAGGAGCCTTCTCAGAGCCGGGGGATGGGATGGGGGGTCTGATGCGGCCCCTTAAGTTAGTCAGTGTTTGAGATCAGGCGTGTTTAATAACTAAACTTCTCGGGGTTCCCCCCCCAGTATCTCAGCCTGCGCACGGCTCTCCTTGGGCCCAGGCTGTTGCCCATTGACCCTGCGACGCTGCTCTGGTGATACAGACAAATCCAGAGCAAACCGCTCCCTGCCTGGCAGGTTTACAGGCTAAAATCTGCAGCCAGGTGGCTTCTGGGACTGTGGGGGCCAGGTTCCGTTTGGGATGAAAGGCCTGGGACTGGTGCAAAGGCAGCGACCTGATGCCAGCTCCCCCCTGTGAGCACTGGGCAGCGCGATCCTGCAGAGGGAGTTACCTGCACAAAGGTCCTTTGCAGAGGCCGTTGTGGAGCTGTTACTGACGGGGTTCTGGGCTGTACAGGTGACGGCCAGGTGAGCATCACGGGGGCTCAGAGAGATGTGCAGAATGGACTCATTGGCTACAACAGCGCCCCCTGCTGTGTGAGTCCAGCTGTAGGTCACATTGTCCCCTCCATCCCTGACGGTGCAGCTCAGGTTGTAGTTACAGGTTTCACTCACACAGGTCACTGGGTCACAGAGGACAGTTGGCTCCGGTACTGGCTCTGCCGGGGGGAGAGAAACGTGGAACGGGCTGAAATGCCCAGAGCATCTTGCGAGCCGCTGCCTGGATGTGCTGGGGACGGTGAGCGCAGGGAGGTGTCTGGCTCCTCGCAGCATGGTTGGGGCAGGGGCAGGGGATTAGGGAGACTCTGCCCCAGCTGGAGGTGGGGGGAAGAAGGGAGGGATCGTTTGGGGGTGCTGGAGAAGTGGTGACCAGGAGGCCCAGCCTTGAGCTAGTTGAAATTCCTCACTGAAATGTGTTTCCGTCAGGAAATGGGGGTTTGCTGGAATTGGGGGGATGGGGGCGGGGCCTGAGGAAAGCGGCCGGGCAGGTGAGCCCTGGCGTGGGTGCAGGAAAGCCGCGTGCCAAGAGGAGTTTGGATTTCTGATGAGTCAGGGCCGTGTGGGGCGGGAGCAATGGGGCAGCAGACGGGGCGGGGGAAGGAGATTGCAGAGGAGAAGTGGGCAGAGAGGCAGAGCTGGGGGGGTGACGGGGGGTGGGGGAGGGGAAGGAACAGGAGCTGGGAGGGGGAGGAGGTTGCAGAGGAGAAGTGGGCAGAGAGGCAGAGCTGGGGGGGGGTGACGGGGAGAATGGGGGGGAAGGACCAGGAGCGGGGGAGGGAGGAGAAGCAGCCGCACTGAGAGGTCTGCACAGACTCTGGGACCCTGCTGCCCTTGATCTCCCAGAGGAGGTCCCTGAGCAGGGCGGGGTCCAGCTTCCCCCGGGGTCCATCGGCCCCCCACTTACTGTACACGCGCAGCAGGAAGTGTCTGTGGTTAGGGTTAGAACTCCCTGATACGTGGCTGTTGCTGGGGTCTGTAGCTGTGCTGATTTGAGCGCTGTAGGTGCCCGTGTCCTCCATCCTCAGGCTGGTGATCTGAAGCGAGTTGCTCTCGGGGACTCTGACGCGTCCCTTGTAGGATGTGTCTAACACAATGACATTGGGGGGGTTTCCTGCTTCTACAGCTACTAAACTCCTCGTTGCGTTTACTGTCCAGGAAACAGTTCTAAGTTGCTCTGCTGGGATCCCCAGAGGGAAAGTGACGGAGTCCCCCAGAATCCGGCTCAGCTCCATCGCGCCTGCCTCTGCTCTGCCGGACCCTGCCCCACGAGAGAGAAGAACAGGGTCGTTTAGGACCAGATCGACCACACGCCCCGTCACGGGGACCCCCGGCCAGTTCCCCTCCCCCGCTCTTGTGACACGTTCCCCCGGGAACCGGGGCGCTGCTGTTCCCGGGCCAGAGTACGGCCGGGGGAGGGGACGCTAGACCCAAACCCTCCCAGATTTCAGATTCCGGTGTCCAGCGCCCCATGGCCAGGCCGCCTTCGGCGGTGGGGCTGGGATATTACAGAGCCAGGGGCCAGCTGTCAGATGTGGGTCCGGATCTGGGTTTTGAACACGTCCGATCTCAGAGGGTTGAGATCCAGTAGCAGTAGGAGGCTCTTTCCCTCTGCTGTGAACCAGCCACTAGAGGGGGACAGAGAGCCGCCCGGTGCCAGAGCGGGTTACAGGCTCTCACAGGCGTTTTCCTGCTCAGGTTGAGTGGAGGCTGCTGATCCTATTACAGCCCATGGATGGCCGAGTCTGTCTATCCCAGTGGTTCTCAAACTTATGTACTGGTGACCCCTTTCACACAGTAAGCCTCTGAGTGCGACCCCCCCCCTTATAAATTAAAAACACTTTTATATATATTTAATACCATTATAAATGCTGGATACAAAGCAGGGTTTGGGGCAGAGGCTGACACCTCGCAACCCCCCCATGTAATAACCTCACGACCGCCTGAGGGGTCCCAACCCCAGTTTGAGACCCCTGGTCTATCCCCAGACCCACTCATGTCTATCTGGGGTGCTTACACTGGTGCCCATCACCCCGGTATCTGAGCGCCTCCCAAGAGTAAGGGAGACAGCTGTGATTCCTCTCTCCCTTCCCAGCAGGCTCGGGCGGTTTCATGATCCCCACTGGCCGTAGCTGAGCGGGGGGTGACTGTGTTGAGCTGGGGGCTAGTGCAGGAAATTTGGCTGAAGAGGTGAATTTGCACCTAGCTCTGAATGTGGGGAGGTTTTAGATCCTCAGGGGTGAGGGACCCACCTAAGGGATGATGGTGCAGAGGGTTCAGGGCTCACAGGGGAGGGGGCTGCAGTGCTCCCCAATGAACTTCGGGGGGCTGGAGCTTGGGGGAGACGTAGCAAAGCCGCCTTTGGTTGGGGAGGGGCATGAGTCTCCCAGGCCCATGTCAGGGGATGTATGTGGGGCCCCCATTTCCCT